TTTTCGAAACTGTAGCAATACTGACACTCCTTGGTGCTGAATTCATATTTTGACACTGTTTAATTATTGTTAACAAACATATCGCCACTTGATTGATAAATTTTTGTATATTGTAATAAAAATGTTGTATGCATATTAGAGTAGAGCCAGAGATGAGTATCTAATTGAAAAGTGAATATTTCTTCGCTCAATCATTTTGTTTTCTGACTGTCTAAATGGGGATGTTTTCTATATTGAAATTTTCATATTATCTAAAATCAGTATGGTTCTCATTAATACACATACACACGACCTGAGTCATCTTCAGTTAACTTCAAATCGAAATAGCTAACTCATACAAGTCTGAGGACAGCTCAGGTTGATTGAGGTTTTGAAGAAAAATTGTAAGCAACTGAGGCAGAGAGAAAGACACAATGGAATGGATACACAATAACTTCAAAAGATAGAGCATTCACTTTACTTGTATTGGTATTTTTCCTTAGATTGAATGGTCTTCTGATCAGTGTGAGTATATAAGCAATGTTTTTATGAAAAAGAATAGTGCAGATATAACTTCCTATCAGAGTCTAAACAATACATTTCAGTTCAATATCTCCTTTTTTAAGATAGTATTTTGAGGATTACTGAACGAGTTGTATCTCCATTGTATGAAGATGCATTTTACCTTAAATGTATTGCTTGTTTAGTAAATTAGTCCTTTCTCTCTAAAAGTGGATGCTGAGTACAAGTTTTGATTGGTAAATAACCACGATGAAGCTTATCCTTAGAAGTTCAAATATATCTCTTTGAATTTGTTAATGAACTAGTGCGTAGCTATAGACAGAATAACCTCCAGTCCAGTAATGTAATTCTCTATAACTTTTGAACGTTATGTGTCACTCTCAGGTGGATATGTTTTGCATGAAAATCTCAACATTCTATTTCTAATATTTTTTTAGTGTACAACTATACAATGGAATCATGTAAAAATGTTCTCATTATGCTGGTACTAACAAGGACACTGGAAAACGGAATCAAAAAAGAACAAAAAGAATCGCAGCAGTAATTTCTCATTATTATGATAACCGAAATCCAGATAGTCTGTAGAGAAGTTTGTATGTCTCTGAATGACATACTCACTCAAAGAGGATCAATAACAGTAGAATCAGCCATCATCACCCGACAGTGTGTGACATACTTTGATTAGTCAATAGGTAGTTACCGATGTCATACCTCTAGTCCTCGGCATTGGTGCAGAATGAAGTTTTCCAGTCAAGTTTGCAGTGTGGTAACAAAGCTATTTGGCTTGCCAACACGGTGCACTCTAAATTGTAGATGCTCCCTGCTGACAAGTGTCAACAAGCATGGAAACTAGGTCAGACATAGCTTCCTACCAATCGCCTCCAACCATCTAACATCAATTCGGAGTGCTTGGCATGCTGCTCAAGTCATCCGAATGACAAAAGATAATAAGTGAACTAGCATTTAGACACATTTACTCTAATGTATTTTGATAAAGAAGAATGCAGACAGTCATCAAACAAATAGGAATAAGCCATAGAATTAAAATAATGAGTTAACTTATGGGGCGAAGTTCAACAATAGAGTCCCAGGATTGTAAATGTTCCAATGACCCTGAACGCATGCTAGTCATTTGTTGAGGAAGCTCACCATTATTCTAGCGCGAATAATTGTGCATACTGGTAAGTGACACTGAATTAATTGTCTTATAGGAACTTTCTTTGAAAAGTTGAATCTGTCTTTGATGGTTGGTTGTTATTGGTGTCGAAAGTTTAACTTTGCCTGAATATCTTGTTTCTGTCCAATTACTGGGTGCCAGAGCGAATAACGTTTGGGTTTTATGAATTTATGATACCTAGATTCGCAAAGGGTTTATGGAGCTGATTCTAGATAGGAGTGCTGATACACTCCTCCCTATTATTCAGCGTCTAGTGTTACCAGGCACCACCATTCACACAGATGAATGGGCGGGATATAGCCAGTTATCACAATTGGGATATATACATCATAGAGTGAACCATTCGAATGATTCCGTCGACCCTGTCACCGGTACTCATAATAATTCCATCGAAGGTTTCTGGGGAAGATTAAAAAATAGAATAAGAGCTATAAATGGTTTTCAAAACCAAGAGAAAATATATCCTGTTCAAGGTCACTTGTGCGTTCGCATTGCTTGGGACTCTATTGTTGAACTTTGCCACTTATGGAATGGGCTTAAAACTTGCGCAACTCTAAACAATAGGAACCCAAAACGAAACGACCTACAAACGCACAAATGACCTCATCAAGGACTAATCAGAAGGCTCAAAAAAAACGACGATAGTTTTCCCAGGCAGCACTAAGCGCTAGATAATAGGCAATAATACATATGCCCTGCGCTTAGGGGTCGCCTCAATATGTCCTTTCTGGAGGCTGGTGTCATATATCCCCAAAATCTATTACTGGAAAAAACAGTCACCTGATCGGTTGCTTAAGGTCATTTGTGCGTTTGTAGGTCGTTTCGTTTTGGGTTCCTATTGTTTAGAGTTGCCAATACTTGATCAATAATGAAAGTTAAACAGATAAGTCTGTATGACTTATTGATATTATTCCATGAACACACAAAAGTGTATGAATGTAAGAATACATACAAATCTGTACATTTAATACACGCTAAATTTAAAAATACTTAAAAATTAAAACTCTATGGAAAAATATTCAAAACTCCGTTGTATCTGACTGACTGACTGACTGGTTTCAACATAGAACTTTGTACAGAAGTGTAGTAGTTCGAGCCGCCATACTGCATATAGCACACAAATGAAGATAAAAGAGAGAAAAAGAGGTATTCGAAACGATGACAATAACTATAAATTTGATGGCGAGAATGATCTTGAGCCAGATCACCAGTCATCTCTAGCCTTTGGCACTTAGAATCCCCGAAGACTCCAGTCAGACAATCTATACCTCCCTACGTGACTCAGACTAACTGTCAAAGATTTCATGGACTGATTGCATGTTTTAGTTTGACGACCTCCGCCCCTTACTCTTTTCCAAACTCATCCTATGCCAGCTGACATTGTCTGCCGAGGAAGGCGATGACTAGAAAGGTATGAGTAACACATGTCCTAGCCATCTCAATCGATGTAGCCTCACAATCTCATCGATTGACTTACTTTCCTTATCTAACACTGGATGCCTAATCTCAGTATTAATCACCCTTTTATATCGAATAACACGGAAGATAGAAAACAGACACCTATGATCAAAGACAGCTAGCCATTTCATGTTTCCACTTTCAATGGCAATGTCCCACAGCCATAAAAGAGGATGGCTGTAAAAGGTGAGCATAGTCTGAAAAATTCACGAATAGATAAAAGCGAAGAAGACTGCTCTAGAGGAGATAGATTGTTTCTTTTAGGTGAACTTATTTATTAGACGAAACACTTTCTTGTCAGAGGTGGTAATATGTGATGGAAAGGAGAACAGTATTACCGAAATACGTAAAACCATATAATAAAAGGGGTCATCGATCATATGCAACTCTTCATGGCGTTCATAGCAAAGACTAGGCACATCACACTTAATATATTGAATACGGAGTCACTTTAGATTTCCACTCCACTGTTCACTATTATTAGTAGTAGTATTCACTTGGATTTCAAAAGGAATATGATGCCTCAACAGCACATATCCGTTTCATCCTGTTCTCTGCAGTTCGCTTTTTGGTTGACATAGGATCAGATTGGAAAAGAGTTAGTGGTGGTCAAACCAAAACATGGCATCAGTCATTGAAACCCATAACAGTTAGTTTAAGACACGTAGGAAGGTGTGGACTTCCTGGTTGGGGTTCTCAGGAAGGTTGGAGACAATCGGTGATATGGCTCAAACTCATCGTTCTCAGTACTTTGTCAACTCCAGTGAAACTCTATCGTTCTTCCATATTACTACTCTTTTTCATCACACTTATGTTTATTATCTCTGCTTACTCTCCTCTCTTGCTTTGTGTGTCAACTCGAACTGTCACACTTCTGCTCAAAATTCTATGCTGAAAACAGTCAGTTAATCCTCTTTAGCTGGCCCCATGATTTCCCACAAACTTTCATCTCCTTCTCACACGATCTCTTCCATATCACTCTCAGACCAACGCCCAACTCGTCGTTTCCCATTCAGGTTCCACTCTAAAGCCTGGTGTGTGATGTCTCTCAACATTCTCCTCATCTTAGAATATGTCTTTTTTTATTATTCATTCACGCTCCCCAGTGGAACAAAGGGCTTCAAGCTAGTGGCTTGAAGATTCTGTAGCAGTGTATATTTTTATTCTTACAGGATGGGGTAGCTAACCTCATGCCCAAACTTCCCTCTTTACTAGTCTTACTACTGGCTTAGCTAGGTAAAGGAGTGAGTTGTCCGGGGATCGAACCCCGGACCACATACATGGTCGGCGAGCGTCCTAACCGCTATACCACCGACGCAGAATGTGCCTGGTCCATTCCAATTTTCTTCGGTATCTATGTTGTGTACTAGGTTCTTGGTTGGATCGTTTCCAGAGTTTCTTGTTGCTAATCCTGACTTTACAGTAATGAATACATACCTTGCTTTTACGATCCTGGCTTTGGCATCCTTTTCTGTTAAGCTGGTATTTGAACTTATGCTGCATATATAAGTTGAAAAGGTGCCTTGATTCCCCTTCATTTGCATATCCGAATGTCTTCAGTTCATATAGTATCCTGTTATCAGAATAAAGACATTTCCGTTAATCAGTTTCCACACTGCTCTTGTAGCAGTAAGCCTATTTAAGAGGGGAGGTTTGACGTAAGGTTGGCAGGTTCAAGGGTCTAGCTTTGAAGCCCTGTATTACACTCAGAACACAGAGGAACGAAAATAAAAGCTGTCAGAGAATAAAGCTTTCTTATTTCATCAACTTTTGTCCGTTTGAATAACCTTTTATCAATGTATCCATTTTCGCACTTCTACAGTGTCTCCCTCTTTATTGTTATTCTATCGTGCTTACTTTTAAGATGTACCACAAACTATTACTGAACTCTATCAAATTCAATCCACATGGACATCTGTCACTATATCCTGGGAACAGAATTATCATGATTCACAACTGGATTTACCATATCAAGATATATTGAATACATCAAATGATAATAATATCTTCACTGTTATCCAGAATTTTTTACAAATTTGGCTTGATAAAAGTCAAAGTGCACAAAAATATCTTATTGAATTAGAAGACCATGGAACAAACTCTAATTTATCTGAAACTTTCAAACCAACAAACAAATCAAGTCTCTTCCCCAACTTTGCATCAATGTACAAAAGTGGACCTCGTCTATTATACGAAAGTAAAGCTGGAAACACTGAAAGGAAGACACTTATAACTCATTTCCTGGTAAATACTAGAGGTGAAAATCTTATTAACATAAGCGGTAAGGAAAACGAATTTTGCTTATTCTTTTCGCTTACTTTTCTAATTTAAGTAGTTTAGTGAAATGCGTCAAAATTCCTTTAAATGTTTACAAAATTAACTTGGATGTAAAGTAAACAACCTGGATGTGAATTAATTTGCACATGAATCTTTACTATATTGAATGATTATCGTTTTAAATAACTCTCAAGGCCATTCGGATTCTTAAAGAACTCAGATGTTGCATATGATCTTCTCGACTGAAGTGTGCAGAGTTTCTGATGTATAAAATAAGCCCTTTATGGAAATTTTACTTAACATACTTATACAATCTCAAAGATATACCATCTTTGACATAAATTTGTCCATTACTTTCACATTTAAAAATATATAATCATAAGTAGAATAAAAACAAAGCTGTTAAGGTCAGTGAGTTTTAATCACTATACGAATGCCTACGGTTCATGAAGTATCTCATTTCCATGATCAAATGTAAAACGAGACTGTTTAGTTAACACAGATATCATACAACTAATATAGTAAGACACTTCGTAACTGTATATTCGGTTTTATCAAAACGTCGTTGTTTTTAAGGTCACAAATTCTGATGAACAATACATAGATGTCAAATTAGATATGCAACTCTATATGAACCTCCGAGAATGTCGTCTCCAACTAAAATGTCGTCTAAATCAACTGATTATTCAATAATTACATCTTCATTGCTATTCAGTGACTTATTAAGCAACTGAAGAAAAGGAAAGTTTATCCTGAATGCAAGCTGCATTGGTAAGTAGTATATTAAGAGACTTTCATAGACATAAAGATATCAAATAACGGAGAGATAGATTTGACGTCAAAGAGAGGAAATGAACCCTTAGGAAAAGAAGATGAAAAGAAGACAAACACAACACGGAAGATCTGTGCAAATGACGACTTTCATTTAAGTAGATAGAGCTACCAGTGAACACCAACCCCCCGACGAAATCAGAAGTCCTGAAGGCAATCAAGATGCTAAAACCTGGAAAAGCCCCAGAACCAGATGGAATCCCAGCAGAAGCATTGAAAATGGACCCAGAGATAACAGCGGACTTGATGACGCCACTACTGGAAAAGGTGTGGAAAGAAGGCAAAATACCCGAGGATTGGAAGAAAGGATACTTATTCAAACTACCAAAGAAAGGGCACTTAAGTCAATGCAAGAACTGGCGCGGAATTATGCTCCTGTCTATCCCAAGCAAAATGCTAAGCCGCATCATCCTGGAGAGAATCAAACACGCCACCCTGTATGAAAATCTTCGACCGGAACAGGCTGGATTCAGGAGAAACAACTCATGCATTGATCAGATCACCACATTACCGATCATCGTTGAACAAAGCCTGGAATGGCAGTCACCTCTCTATCTCAACTTCATCGACTTTGAAAAGGCCTTCGATAGCGCAGCGTCTATCGAGAGATGATTTGGAAACTACTTCGCTACTATGGGGTGACACCGACAATTATACATCTCATCCAACAGCTGTACGACAATGCTGCATGCCAAGTAATCCACAACGGGAAACTTACGGAATCCTTCGAAGTGAGGACAGGAGTAAGACAAGCTGGCTGCCTACTATCGACAATGATTTTCCTGAATTCGGTAGACTGGATAATGCGACAGACAGCGGCGGGCAATGAGGAAACAGGCATAAAATGGACTCACACAAAAAACCATCAAGTGATATCACACGCCAGGCAATCTCTCGAATGGAACCCGAAAGGGAAGCGGCGAGTTGGCCGTCAGTGCAAGGGTGACTTGGAGGAGGTCATGTGAAGAGGAGATGAAAACGTGTGGGCAGACATGGAGACAGGTGAAGACTCTAGCAGAGAACCGAACGCAATGGAGACGCACGGCTGGAGCCCTATGTTCCTCTAGGAATTAAAGGATATAATAATAATAATAATAATTTCCTTATATATGTCTATCAAATTCCTGATAAACATTTCATTACAAAGTGTACTGTCTTCTACTGTGACATTACTGCCGATCAAATCAAAGAATAAGATATAATGTTCAATTTTACTTTTGTTTTATTTCTGTCTAAGTTATCATATTCTAACATTTTACTTATTTCGACACTCATTTTTATTGGCTAACAACGCTCGTCTATATTTCTCACCATATGACATATTCTGTTGACAACATTCATCTTATTCCCCTCGTGTACTCTACCTTCTTATAATCTATCTGTTTCAAGCATGTTTAGTGAACTTTATATTGACTTTTTTTTATTCATATTGTTCAATCATTTTGTTACTTGTGCATATACACGAAGTTGAAAAGTGATGTGAGTACCTTGATATGATTATGAGTAATAAATTGTGCTCAAAACGTCATCCAGTAATTAATGCTGTATCACTGACTGTTAATTCAAATAAACTTCTCCAATATCTAATACTGTGGCCATTTTCTACACTTACATTTAAAAATAAAAATACATGATTCCGTTTTGTGTATGATACAGAGTCTCGTGTTTACTGCCTTGAGAAATGAAGAAACACAAAGTGTTTTTTTTCAGTGCAGTTTAACCTTCTAAATTTTGTGTAACTTTAAAATGTCCTACCACATATATGTGTAAATGAAAGTGTCTATGTCCTGAGATACTCTAACCTAGTTGTACTTCAGTTAGATGAATGACAAGTACTTCTATTTTTCAAGTATTGATTTGTAGGGATTTGATTGATTGGTTACAGGATTTCATCATCAGCTGGCATCGGTTAGAGAACCATCTGAAAACCTGAGAGTACTGAACAGCCAACTGTTTCGTCAGCCTAATTTCCGAACTCTTCACAGTACGCACCCACCTCAGAGGGTTCAAACACAGGAACTTCTGGTTACAAGGCGAGCCCGTAGACCATTAAGCCACTGGGACCCGATCCAATGGCCAACGCATGAATTCTAACTTCTGCAAATTCTATTTTTGTTTTTTCGACTCTTATTATTTTCATTTGTACATTTCATTTCTACTGTTTACATTAATAGTTTTTCTTAATCAAAAGTGATATTTCTTGTGATCATGACAAGTAAAAATCGTTTCACAAGAGTTAGTTTGTGGGGATTTGATTTGATCATGACCTGATTTCAGTTGGAGAACAATTGGAAAACCAGGTTTCATCCTAGTTTGGGACTCTTCATCAGTACGCTCCCACCATGATCTGATAACATTGGCTGCTGGTCGCGCTAAATCCACGAATTGGTGGAAGTTGAAGTCCATGAGATATCGAATCGGTGTCTCACTGGCTGAATAGTCTACGAGATTGCCTTGTAACCAGAAGGTTATGGGTTCAAACTCTACGGAATGCACACTACTGAAGAGTCCCAGACTAGGAGGAAACAGTTGTCCTAGTTTCCCAATGACTCGTGATCAAACTTCAAAAAAGTTAAATGTGACCTAACCAAATGGGAAGCAGTTCCTAAGATTGTACATGACCAAATTAGAATTTAGTCAGGTGTAAACTTCATTTCATTGTAGAGTATAAGAAATTTTGAATTTAAACTGACAATCAGAAATATATACATATTATTACTACTAAATACAATACTTCAGTGGTAGTATTCAGTTCATAACAAAATGGTGTGTTAGTAGGCTTCAGAAGAAGTTAATTCCAATAATAATCACGACGTTGGCAACTCGACTAAATTAGTGTCACTAACTGAGCTTACTAGCTAAACCAAAATGAGTTATTATGTAATGGGAACAAAAATTACTTTAAATTATAATATCTTTGCCATTCAACACTGTGAGCCAAGACTTAAAACAGAAAGCTCCTACAGAATAAAATTCTGAATTAGACTGATGATGACAAGCCTTCAGAATAGCGAAATTTCTGCTTGCTTTTTATATCTCTTTGATCATTCTGGTCAGTACTAGTAAGTGGTGTGAATAATTTCCAGTTGTATTTTAAAGCCAGTAGTAAATATTGATCAGTCTAAGCTTAGATTTAGTGACTTTTGATTGTGTTTATGTGTTAATCGGCAAAGTTAAACTTTAAGCACCACTAACTAACAATCAGCAAATGAGCTCGAACACATCAATCACAGGAAGGAGGCATTGGTATGTTTCGAATACATATATTTAATTTATGAAAGAAATGCATTAAAACTGTACAAAAGTGTCACACAGGATACCTTCCTCTCACATGTCATAAAAATAGCTCTAAATTTAACGTTGGAGTATCGACAGTGTGTAATTCCAATGTGCGCAAAATTTATTTTGACGAAGTCTCATAGTGTTATAGAGTAATATTCACTGAGCTATAAACTGTGTTCGAAACGTTGTCATTAGTAAATATTACTGTATAACACTGTGAGAATTTATCAATATAAAGTTTACCCAGAAAGAAATTATACTCTAACACAGTGCACAATTTCTATTCTAATATCAATAGAGAAATTTAACCACATTCTATGCATGTAAGTATTTAGGTCTTCTTACACTGACAATAACCCTAATCTTTCCTAAACCTAACCCGAACGTGAAAATGTGCCTAAACTAACTGTAATCTAACTTGAACCAACCCTAATGTCGCCTTTATAAGGTTAACCTAACCCTAACTTGTCCTTGGCTTAAACCTTAACTTAATCTTTCCCATACCTAAGCTGAAACTTGCAAGATATCCCATTTAATAACATAACACTTCGTTGAGCATATTTCATTGATGGTGACAACATTATTTACCAGATTTCACTAACTTGCTCAGTGACCGTTTCAATGTCATTGGTACGGTCGCACTCCTCCATTGTTAGTTAGTGGTGCTTAAAGTTTAACTTGGCCCCACAATCTTAAATATTTCGCTCCCATCATTGATGAAGCCGCTAACATGATACGGTATGTACTTGTGGTGAGAGCTGTCTACTAGCCAAATTGGTAGACAGTAATTTACGTCAATATTTACGTTCCCAAGATTTGTCGTGAGAAACAACCAATCGGAAGACTGCGTTTGTTTGTTTACATAACCATAGTAATGTACATGAAAACATATATAAATATGCGTTGATTTCCTTAATAAATGATCTGTTGCCTGACTCTTGCCTTCTGTCGTTACATACTGTGTTTACGTGTGTGTGTGTGTGTATGTATGTGTGTATGCCTGAAAAAAATACTGGTTCATTGTTAACTCCTTTGAACTATGTTCCCAGATCATTGTGCTGGATTAAATGAACATTTTGTTTGTATAATCCGAAATCTGTTCAACCCAAATAGGTGATATGGATGCCGAAAATAACCGATCCACTTATAATTAGGTATTTTCTTAGTAGTCCTGTCACCAATCTTTGATAAGTAGAGACCTATTTTGTTATTTCTATTTCTATTCCTTTTTCATCTTATTATTATTATTTCTATGTTAGGTCTGATGTCAAATCATTTGTATACGGTAAAAATTTCAGGGATCAATAAACACGGTAAAGGTAAACCGTCCAAGGCTTTGGCTTTTAAAACAAAATGTAAGTCTACTTAAATGAATTTTTGTTTAACTTTGTATGTGTGAGTTAACGGAATTAGGTTGATAATAGCAGTAGTAATAATGAAAGTATTCAGACATGCTTATATCACATTCAGTTAATCAATAGGGCACAAATCAGTGTTCTGTAGGTAGGTTACAGATACTCTATGTTGATGAAAGCCGATAAGCTACGAAGTCGAGATAAAGCACATTTCCCCTACTGTTAGTTCACAAGCTTTCATTTTCTTTTCACATTATCTTCTTCATATCATCCTCTCACCTACAGCCTGGCTAGCGTGTGATATCAGTTGAAGGTTTCCTCAGCATAAGTTCAATCCACCTCCATTTCCATATCCATTTCATATCTTTTTAGGAGCAAGTTCTCGGCTGGTTCACTTAAAAAGTTACCTTTCTGTCTGACTATTTGATCTTCAGTATGGATTGAAGGCTGTTGAAATTGCTTTAGGTGAAGTATACAACAAGTATGTATGACCACATTTCACAATTGATCGACCTACATAAGACTGGTGGGTTATAAATACCAATCGAGTCCACTGTAAGTGTGGATAGTTATCTGCTAACTTTCGATTAAGTGCATAATTATTAGAAAGTTCACATTCAATTTACAAAGCAGATACATTTTGGGAAACAGAAAAGTGTGCATCTATCGTCTTTGCAGACTTACTCAGAAAAGTCTGAGACTCAAAGGTCCTTTACTTCCAAAAATTGTATGCATTGCTCGTGTTTACAGTTGTCTTTACGTGAAGAAATCTAACATTAATTTGTTTGCAGAACCGAATGCTAGTATACAACTCCAACCGAAACTCAAATTAACGGAGGTACTAATTTCGACGAGTTGATCACTGATTGATATCAGTTAGAGAAGCATTAAAAACCACCAAGGAGTACTGCACAGTTGTTTCATCCTAGTTTGGGAATCATCGGCAGTACGCACTCACCCCCAAGGTTGTAACCCAGGACCTACAGGTTCACAAACTAGGATGAAACAGCTGTCCAGTACTCCCTGGTTCTCAATGGTTTCCTACCTAATATCAACTCGTCAAAACAAATCTAATTCTTTCAAACTAACTCTGGTAATACTAATTGTTTCAACTGTGTCCTAGATCAGATTTACCGATCTTAAATCCCTATATTTCCTCAATATCCTTTGTAAATTCTGCGGGGACATGAATTAATTTTCTTTTTTGCATATTTCTAAAGAAAAAAGTATTAGCTTATAACACTGTGAATGTTATAAACTGCTTCCCCCCTCTTGGTGCTGTCAACCTCATGCATACTTCCTGACCTATTACTTAAAAATTTTACTCATCCTACCAAATATATAAGCATAGATGACAGTGTTAAGAAGGAAAAGATGGAACTCTGCACAGAATTCTTAACAAGGAAACGGCAGAAGTGGCACTTAAGTCCGCAAACTTCGTCACACAAAATGTTCTGTGGAAATTATTTAACAAAATAATTTATTGGTCACAGGATTTCTTCATGAGCTGACATTGGTTAGAGAACCATTGGAAAGCCTGGGAGTACTGGACAGTTGTTTCGTCCTAATTTTGGGACTCTTCAGTAGTACGCACCCATCGGGGTTCGAACCCAGGACCTTCTGGTTACAAGGCGAGCTCGTATACCATTAGGCCACTGGGACCCGATCCAATGGCCCATGAATTCTAACTAGCTCACCTTGTAACCAGAAGGTCCTGGGTTCGAACCCTGGAGGTGGGTGCGTACTGCTGAAGAGTCCCAAACTAGTACGAAACAGCTGTCCAGTACTCCCAGGTTTTCCAATGGTTCTCTAACCAATGTCAGCTCATGAAGAAATTCTGTAACCAATCAACCAAATCCCTACAAACCAATACTTGAATAACAAAATAATTTAGTTTATCTAATACCATGTAGTGATTCTGAATTCCACTATACAGGTCAAAGTAGTAAACCAGACTCAGATTAATGGAACATAAAGTCAGCCAAAAAGAAGAACGTAGAACAGCTCAATTCTAGAGCATATTATTACTTCTCATTATGCAGCATCCTCAAAGACTTCTTTCAGAGTCATATTTAAAGTACAACCCACCCGTTCGAAAGGATTTCGCCTGCATCTTCTTCATGCAGCCTAAACCTTAGCTGTGCTTGAAGAGAAACCTGAACTTCGCATCTTATCCGGCCTCTTTAGCTACCATGGCGTTGGTACTATTTCTTTTTCTTTTTCCTCCTTCCCATTTTGTCTTCTTGACTAACTGTGCAAGAAGCTCTATGTAGGGTGACTCATTTTTTAAATATTTTGTTCTCTTGTCTCTTATCAACGATTTCCAAACGATTACTCATCACTCAACTAATTATTTGTCAACACTTTTGATTTTTCAAACACAGTTATTACTCATGCACTTCGACTTGCTTTGTTACTAACATCTGATAATAACCTTTGACCTCTGTTGTTAATCTACACTGCATTTATAAGTCCATAAATAACTGCAGAGCTTTTAAGTGAAGTTACAAAAAGAGATCTCTTTGCTGACTCATCTGTTCTTAAATCTAAATCAATAGATCCTACTAGGATAAGAAATCTAGAAACAGTTCAACTATTGCATTGTAATATACTCATACACAACACTGTACAATAGGATAAGACAAAGTGACAGTCCTGAATTCTAATACTGCAAAGTGGAGAGAAAGAGAGAAGAGAGGGAACTAAAGCTGTGGTTATCGAATCAGCTGAGGACACATAGAATAGGAATTATTCAGCACCAATTTCGGATATCTGGAAAGCGCTACTAATCCTCTGACAAATAGAAAAGAGGAAGTGAAGCTATGAAAATTTAATTTTATAGTTTTAGTGTTGGATATGATACGGCTATGGACAATAAGTTGTTTTATCGGCGAAGTTCAACAACAGCGTCCCAGGAGTGCGAATGCTCCAATGACCTTGAACGCATGCTAGTCGTTGGCTAATGGCACCTGTCATTATCATAGCTGAAATATCAATGCTATTCATCAGCTAAGCAGCAAATTTCAGCCGGATCACGTTTTTAAGTACTGTTTCGACAATGTGTTAATAGCTCGTTAGGTTCAGCATTAAGGTTACGGTTACGATTAGAGATAGATTTATAGTTGGTGTCATTTATTTTAATTTGTTTTATTATCCACAATTTCCTGCTAAGTGGTCATCGATCCTCTTACTCTAACCCATAGTGTTTCAACCAAGGGCTTTGTGGAGGACTGCACAACTGAATAAGAGAGATGAACGATTCACAAAATATTATTATTACTGTTTCCTTTAATTCCTAAAGGAACATAGGGCTTCAGCCAAACGTCTCCATTGCGTTCGGTTCTCTGCTAGAGTCTTCACCTGGCTCCAAGTCTGCCCACATGCTTTCATCTCCTCTTCACACGACCTCCTCCAAGTCACCCTTGCACTGACGACCAACTCACCGCTTCCCTTTCGAATTCCACTCGAGCAATGGCTTGTCTAGTGATGTCACTTGATGGTCTCCTCAGAGTATGGCCAGCCAATCCATCTCCATTTCTTCCTGCAGATTTGTTTCACAATCGGTTCCTGGTTGGTTCGCTCATTACAAGAGATCTCTGTTGCTGATCTTTTCTGGCCGGCCATCTGATGTTGAGTATTGAGCGAAGACAACTGTTAATGAAGGTCTGTAGTTTGTTTGAGATGCTCTTTATGATGCGCCAAGTCTCTGATCCGTATAGTAGCACTGACTTCCCATTGGAGTTGAAAATCCGGATCTTATTTTCATTTTCCTGCTGAGTGCTGTTGATCTCCACACAGACTTGAGAGTAATGAAAGCTTGCCTTGCTTTCCCGATGTTCTTCGCTTTGATATCCTCACCAGTTTCTCCTGCCTGTAGTTGAAACGATGCTTCCCAAGTGTGCAAAGGAGGTTGCTTCTTTCAGATTTCTCCCATTTATGCTGACTGATTGTTGTCTGTTGTTGTTGCTGTTGCTCTTGGCCAGAAATCCTCATCACTTCTGTATTCTCCATATCCACCCTGAAGGAAGTCCTATCTTCTCTGGATGCTTCTTCTGCCAAATTGTTGATTTTCACTTGCATATCTTCCAGTTTGTGGGAAATCAGACATATATCATCGGGGAAGTCCAGATCCTCCAAGTTTTTTGTGTGAGTCCATTTTATGCCTGTTTCCTCATTGCCCACTGTTTGTCGCATTATCCAATCTACTGCAATCAGGAAAATCATTGGCGATAGTAGGCAGCCAGCCAGCCTTGTCTTACTCCTGTCCTCACTTCGAAGGGTTCCGTGAGTTTCCCGTTGTGGATTACTTGGCATGCAGTATTGTCGTACAGCTGTTGGATGAAATGTATAATTGTTGGTGGCACCCCGTAGTAGCGAAGTAGTTGCCAAATCACCTCTCAATCGATGCTATCGAAGGCCTTTTCAAAGTCGATGAAGTTGAGATAGAGAGGTGAGATTCACAAAAACAGCTCATCTTTAGTCACCTCGGTGAATACATGTACAGAAACCAGTCTAATGTAGCAGCTGCTACTCCTCATCATAACTGGGAATTATACTCTAAAACAGTGCACAAGTTCTATTCTTATATCAACAGAGTAATTTAACCACATTCTATGCATGTAATTATTTAGGTCTTCTTACCCTTACAATAACCCTAATCTTCTCTGAACCTAACCCGAACGTCAAAATATCCCTAAACTAACTGTAATCTAACTCGAACCAACCCTAATGTCGCCTTTATAAGGTTAACCTAACTCTAACTTGTCCTTAGCTTAAACCATAACTTGATCTTCCCATACCTAGGCTGAAACTTGCCAGATATCCCGTTTAATTACATAACACTTCTATGAGCATATTTTATTGATGATGGCAACATTATTTGTCACGTTTCACTGACTTTACCAGTGAGCGTTTCAATGTCATTGGTGCGGTCGCACTCCTCGATTGGTGCTTAAAGTTTAACCTGGCCGAACTACGTAGCAAAATGATACTAAACCGTA